GGAGCAAAAAAATGGTTTTTTTTTTTTTTTTTGGGGGGGCCACATGCCAAGCATTTACTCGAGGCTGGCACTGCTTAACTCCCCCCACCCCTCCACTCCACCCCTCTTGCCCTCACCTCCCCTCCTCCCTCCTGTCCAAAGCTACACTTTAAACTGTGTGCTTTTCATGCATGCGTGAATATGCAAGCTAATAATCTGCCTAATGCCTTCAGTAGATTTGCTCCTTCACAAAAAAGGTATTTAGCCTGAAACTAGTGTGTTATTTTTCGTACATCAAAAAGAATATGTTGTGTCAGAGTGACTCAAGAACCGTACAGCAGAGTCGAAACCAAGATAAGGAATAGAAGTCATGATAGCTTTGAATTTAAGAATAACAGTTGTTTGAGCATTAATATGACAATGCTCAAGCAATATACTCTCTGACAATACAACGATAGCTGTTGATTTCTTTGTCATTTGTAGAAGTTAAGTTCATCAGTTATGATTCTACGCACATTTCTTCTCAAAGATAGAGTGAACCCCTGCATGTTCTCAGTTGGGTATTTGCAAATTTCAACTGGTCTCAGAGTTTTGGAGGAGCCGATCCTCCACTATTTGCTGAAAAACTTCCTCGATTGCTTTTTACAAGCATAGGCCAAAGCATGACAAAGACACGTCTTGTGCCATCTTGGAGTCAACTATGTTGAACTGAGCATCTGGAGCTTCATTTAGACGGAAGTAGTGTTTTGCTGCCACCTTGTGGCATCTATAGCCAATCATAAACAGCGTTAAAGTCCATTCGATAAAGTGGAAAATGACATTCTACAGATTCACTGTGTGAAATATATCGTGATCCCCCCCGACCCTTCCCCCATACAGTTTCAATAATTATAGCTAACAGCGAATGAAAACCCCAAATACACCATCTGCAGAAATTACAATAGCCCATAAGAGGAATTTTACTACAGACATTGGAGAAGAATTGACATTGTGAAATTAGTTTCTGATGTCGTGGCATCTTAAGTAGAGAAGAACGCACGGAATTAATTGTGTTCTTCAGATTGGAATCAGGCCTCTTCCACATGTGGATAAAAATATGTCTTAGACTTCAGTGCCTGCTTGACGTCGTCAACATACACCGATTGGTGAAAAAATAAATCAAATGTCGGCGGTACATAAATCGGAATTGAACACTTGCAGTGTAAATGTAACGTGGTTTACATATTCATGTGTACACAGGTATCCCCAATACAAACAGTTTTTTCCAATCAGCTTCCACATGACATAATCAATACGGCAGCCTGGAACATGACGGCAGACAAAAAAAAAGAGCCATCAGTAATCAGCGCCGAGTGGCCTCTAACAACACGCCGTGGTGACAACAAGCTGCGAGGGGAAGCTCAACTGGAGCAGAATCAATGGCTGACCAAGTCAGCTCTCTCTCCTGAGGCCTTCGCTTATTCTGTCGTTACAACTGCGCATCATGTGAAATCAATGGATCACACTTTTCAAATCATGTCCGAGCAGACACAATGGCATTTGTGATCTCGCTGTTCGGCTATGTGGTTGAATCTTAGGTGCGTCTCTGCAATCTCACAAAGACTAGGATACATGCTATTCATAGGCCATCTGCAAATTCGAGCCACAATCATGAACATTGTATTATTCCTCTCAAAAATTCATCTTATTATTCTCTCTGTAGAGTTGGATTGTCAGATTGTGTGCTGTCCATTTGTGTCCCCAAGCATGTTTTCCTATGTCAGGGTGTGTATCTGCCCTCATTTAAGCGGGTTCAGGTAACACCTTTGCACAAAAACACCTTCGCTGAAGTCACTGGTAAAGATCAGGGTATCTATGGCCCGATCGTGTTACCTGGCTCCTTCGGCAATGCGAAAGAAAAGGTCCTATTTCAACCGGGCCTTGGTATCTTGAGGGAATGACGGCTTTAATCCTATCCAGCCTCACCACCTCAACGGCTTAGCTGTTGTGAGTGCAAGGACGTTTGTTTGCCTGCCGGTCAGTATGTTAATTCGGAGCGTACTTCCTGCTTCGTGGAGGATGCCACAAGACCTTTCAATGTAGTCTACTGTGAACTGCTGAAGCAGGTCAAGAAAGAGAAAGAACAAACGCAGGGGCCATCAGTCAGAAGGAGTATTCTTGCATCATGTCAACGCAAGGCCTCACACAGCAGCCCAAACGGCGCAGACCATCAACAAGCTGGACTTGGAACTACGGCCTCATCCCCCTTCCAGCCCAGAACTTGCCCCCTTCAGACTTTCACCTGTTTGGTCCCTGAAAAGTGTTCACAAGAAGTTTGAAAGTGGTGATGAAATCAAAAGTTTTGTGAGCTACTGGCTGAGACATCAGTCCAAAGATTTTTACGTTGAGGGAATATTCTGAGAATATATTGTGCACAGATGGGAAAAGTGTGTGACAGTGCTGGGAGAGACTACATTGAAAAACAAAAAAAATAAAAAAATAAAAAAGTAAGCTGCAATCTGTATTAGAAGTTCTTTTACTGAAAAATGCACCTTATTTATTGAATGACCCTCTTATATGTGTGTAGTATGTATACTGAATACGGTATAGGTTTATCCATATTGACTGTACATACGTATATTTGTGTATATGTTTATCCACATCTGCATACATTCAAGTTTACTCACCCTTGATTTAGTCGCATGTTCGTGTTAAAAGGGACCGATGCCATCTGCTTGGATTCCTGCTTCTCTATGTGCAGATTGGCTGCAAGGCGGCCGTGACCCTCTTCATGTATTTCCTGGCAACCAATTACTTCTGGATCCTGGTGGAGGGTCTGTACCTCCACAGTCTTATCTTCATGACCTTCTTCTCGGACCGGAAATATCTTTGGGGCTTCACGATGATTGGATGGGGTGAGTTGAAGTGATTAACCAAAGTGTCATGATTCAATCTGGTCATGTCGCGGGAAGTAATTTTAAGCTGCCTTCGATACGGGCTTCACAGCACCTGCATTGTACACACTGTGCGTAGTACTGGCATAAGCACAGCGCATACAATGTGGATGCCGCGTTCGCCCATCTTCGTCGAGGACGAACAAATGGTCGGGTCTCCAGATGGAGGGCTTGTCATTCCTAATTTGAATATTTGATTTTGCAGGTGTGCCAGCCATGTTTGTGAGCGTTTGGGCCACGGTGAGGGCCACATTTGCGGACACAGAGTGAGTGCAGATTGCTTTTTAGGATTACATTATTTATGTAGTGCTACTTTGACCGACGAGGGTAAGTTTGCCAGAGCTGCCTTCACTTCACTGAAGTGAAAAAAATGGAACAGTTAAATGTGAGCCTCCGAATGAAACCTCAGTTTACACACAAATTGGTTTCGCAACAATTTTGGGGGGAAAATATTGCCTGGGTTCACACACTATCTGACGGGCATATGAGATCGAGGTGACAACCGACAATTTGGATTCAATATGGTCAGATGAGGCGGTCCGGTGATCAAGTGGTTAGCGCATCCACCTCACAGTGCAGAGGTCGTGGGTTCGATCCCAGCTCCCGGTTTCCTCCCACATTCCAAAAACATGCGTGGCAGGTTCATCGAACACTCTAAATTGTCCCTAAGTGTGAGTGTGAGTGTGACTGTGGTTGGTTGTTCGTCTCTGTGTGTCCTGCGATTGGCTAGCAACCAGTTCCTTCTTCCGCCGACTGTCCGAAGACAGCTGGGATAGGCTGCAGCACCCCCCGCGACCCTTGTGAGGATTAAGCGGTCCAGAAAATGGATGGATGGATCGATGTTAAAATGACTTTAGTGCCCGTTTTCTTTTCTCAAGACAGAATCTTTTTCATAACCCGAACCCTCTCACCATTACCCCAAACCTAACCCTAATCCTAATCCAAAACCTAACCTGAAACAAAACCCAAAATTGAACTCTTCCACAAATGCTAACCCAAATGCTAACCCTAGCCCTAACCTTTACCGTAACCCCCCAACCCTAAACCTAACCCCTAGTTTTGTTTTGTTTTGTTTTTTGTTTTTTTTAACCCAAGACAACTCATGATAACCCTTACGAAAAAGTAGTAGTACTTTATAACGTATACTTGAATTTAAGTATACAAAATGTCCTTTTTATACTGAATTGGAACACATGAGGTTTATAAAGTATACTATCTCAGCTCAACACAACGCGGCTCTGTTTATAGAGCCCTTTTAAAACAACCGCCGCTGACAAGTAAATTGAAATGAACTTGTTTAATGGTGTGTTTTCAGAGATGGAGAAGATCCACTTGGAGGCAGTGGAATGTCACTTACTTGTCTTGGATCACGTTGTTTAGCGAAGACTAATCCCAGTTTTGTTGTTTATCTTACGGCAGGTGCTGGGACTTAAGTGCGGGCAATTTGAAATGGATTTATCAAGTGCCGATACTTGCGGCTGTCGTGGTGAGTGTACACTTTCTACTGGATGTGGCCTCCCCCCCACCCCGCTGTGAAGAAAATGATGGCACCGGCTCCTGGGGAATCAGAGCCGTCATTACAGCCCTCTCATTATGTGTTTACCTTTTTTGGCAGGTCAATTTTGTCTTATTTTTAAACATCATCAGAGTCCTCGCAACCAAACTGCGGGAGACCAATGCTGGAAGATGTGACACGAGGCAGCAGTACAGGTATGTGATGATTTTGTCTATTTTTAAACCTTCCGGATAAGTAGCTGAACTAGATTGCAGCCCTGCTTGGAACTCGATATCTTTGATATCTTTGTACAATTTGTGACATGTAGAGCATTCTTTAAGGAAAATTGAAGTGATCAGCAAGGTTATCACGGTTCACGAAAAATAGCAAAATCACAAAAATTGAAAGACAGTTTTGCTTACAATTTCCATCCATTTTCTGATCCGCTTTATCCTCACAAGGGTCGGGGGGCATGCTGGAGCAAAATAAAAAAATTTAAAAAAAGAGAGAAAATTGACAAAATACCGGTCTCGCCCCAAAAAAACAACAAATGTCAGGGCAAAAAACCCAACAGAGTCCCTTTCATGGAGTGTGATGGTGGCTGGACGTTTGCTGCCACTGTCTAGTAGGCTTTTTTTGTTGTTGTTTTTGTTTGTCAAGAAAGAGTAAACCAATCCCTTTAATTGTCTTATTCACAAGCCACATTGTAGGATGCATGTATATACACTGGGCCTCTCATCTCCATGGCAACAGGCTCCAAAAAGACAACAGCAAGACATGTTTTACACTTCCATAAACGTTTGACTCCATATACTTGTTGGCCGTCAAACACAATCATTTGACTTCATTCAATCAGAGCAGAGGACTGTATTATATTAATTCTATTAATATTGATAGCAATAAAGTGCTCAAATACCATCCTATTCTCTAGAAGTCTATTTTTATTTTTTTTAATTAGCAAAAGTCCATAGCTGTGGTATTTTAAAGAAAGATTTCGAAACAATTGATTTCACCTCTGACAAAGTGAAAGGCAAATTGCATCTGAACAACAACAGTAGCTCATGCTAAAATGAAGAGGATTGAGATGGAATTGTAATGTGTGGAAAATGGAAGACATTGTAACTTGAAGAAGAAGAAAGAAAAAAAAGGGAACAACCTGACGTTCTCATTAAACTGTAGTCGGAAATTGTATTTAAAAAAATCACTTCAAAACATTGACTTGGACTACTTTTCATCTCCATCCATCCATTTTCCGATCCGCTTATCCTCACATGGGTCGCGGGGGGTGCTGGAGCCTATCCAAGCCGTCTTCGGGCAGTAGGGAGAGGATACCCTGAACCGGTTGCCAGCCAATCACAGGGCACACAGAGACGAACAACCATCCGCGCTCACAATCACACCTAGGGACAATTTAGAGCATTCAATCAGCCTGCAATGCATGTTTTTGGAATGTGGGAGGAAACCGGAGTACCTCGAGAGTCTAGAACCTGGATGCAATCCTCTATAAACGAGTAAAAACAAAATGGCGATGTTATTTACAATGCTTCATTGTTCTTGTTTTCCGACATTTGTTGTGTCATTGCAGAAAGCTGCTGAAGTCCACGCTGGTGCTGATGCCGCTGTTTGGCGTGCACTACATCATATTCAACGCCATGCCCTATACGGAAGTGTCGGGCATCCCCTGGCAGATCCAGATGCACTATGAGATGCTCTTCAACTCCTTCCAGGTACAATGCTCTCCACAAATGCTTTATTACCAAGGCGGCCACTAAATAAAGCGCCCTGTAGCCAAAGCAAATGTGGTGATGACGGAGCTCTTCTATATTCTTTCTGTTGCAGGGCTTCCTTGTCGCAATCATATACTGCTTTTGCAATGGGGAGGTGAGTCGTCCATCCGAGCGCGAGAATATCGCCATGCCAAATCACCCTGAATGCCTCCAAACGCACCACATTGTGTTCAAAGGTGCAAGCGGAGATCAAGAAATCGTGGAGCCGTCGGACCCTGGCACTGGATTTCAAGCGAAAGGCGCGCAGCGGCAGCAACACGTACAGCTACGGCCCGATGGTGTCGCACACCAGCGTCACCAATGTGACCGCCCGGGCGCCGCACGGCCTCCACCTCACCACCCGGCTGGGACCCACGCCGGTCAACGGGCACCGCAACCTGCCGGGCTACATCAAGAACGGCTCCGTGTCCGAGTGCTCGGCGCCGTCGTCGGGCCAGGAGATCCACGCCGAACCCGAGGAGCTCTGCGCCGCGCCGGCACAGCAGCCGCCGCCGCCGCAGCCGTGCGAGGAAGCCGAGGAAGAGAAGCCCTCGCCCGTGCTGGTGGTGGAGGAAGAGCGGGAGACGGTCATGTGACCCGCTTCGTACAATGGGGCGCCCCCAAATTTTGTGGCCGAGACACTTTGAGCTGCCACACTGAATGTGCAACAGTCTTAAAACAGGCTGGCTTTTAAAATGGATTTTATTTCTTTCCATCCACTGCCATCTTTTCATGTTTTTTTTTTCTTTTTACATTACATGCTTTTTTTTTTTTTGGTTGGTTTTTTTTTTGGTCACATACATCAGACTGAAGTTGCCAGGAAAAAGCCTTAATCAATCTCACGGCCAGGTTTGGAGATGGAGAAAGAAGTTGCGTTGAAAAAAAAAAAATCTGTTTTAACGGGAAGGCACTCAGGTAATTCATGTACACTTTTGATTTTTCAACTTTTTTTAGGCATTTAACAACTCTTTCTACAAAATGAACAGTTTCCCGCATTTCACGCAGTTTAAATGAATGTGTCCAGTGTTTGTGGATGTTTTTTTTTTGTATTTGGCATCACTGGAGAACCTCCGAGAATATTTCTGCGTTGTTCATATGTGTTGCAAATAGACATTTCGATCAAGCTGATCCTGTGCTATATATGCTGCTTTCATGATGTACATACAAGTCACAATGTTTACAAATGCCATTCAAATTGTGAGCTAATGTCGTTATTGCAAAGAAGTGTTTTGTGTGTGTGTGTGTGTGTGTGTGTGTGTGCGTGCGTGCGTGTGTGTGTGTGTGTATGTGTATATATTTTCTGTTGTTTTTGTAATATTTGACGTATGTGCAGTATATAGTACAAACGTAAACGGCAGCATTTTTAAATTCCACAATTCATACTTAAACCAGGGTGATTTTTTTTTTTTAGATAGCTATGGTATTTTTTTTTTACATTACGTTGTTCTGGTGGTTAGCAAGTCTGCCTCACAGTATTGTCTTCGAACTCCAGCCTTCCCGCGTGGAGTTTGCAGCTTCTTTCCAACACACATGTTAGCTTGAGTGAGGACTCGAAATTGTCCATCGATAAAAAAAATCTTGTTTGTCTATATCAGGGGTGTCCAACTCAAGGCCCAGGTGCCAGATCTGGCCCGCCGCATCATTTTACGTGGCCCGTCGTGAAAGCAAATGAAACATGTCAACTTCCATGATTCTTGCTAAAATCTGGACCAAAATTTCAACTTCTCACTTCTAATAAATAAGAGACCTATTATTGGCATTTTTTTTATCACCAAACCACTCATTGCCTCACTGATACAGTAGTCGAATAAACTGTTCTTCCTGACTTCCTTATATAGTTTCAGTCATACCGGCCCTCCAAGGGAAATGGTAACTTTAATGTGGACCGTGACAAAAAAGAGTTTGACACCCCTGGTCTATATGTGTACCCCACCTCTCAACTCAAGTCATTTGCAATAAGCTCCAGCTCACCCATGACCTCATGTGGACCAGCACTGCCGAAAATGGATCGGTGGGTTTACAGTCACCAAAACATTTCGTTTTTAACAGCAAAACAAGCCCACAAATGTGTTTTCCGAAAGAACAGAAGCGAACGCCTGGCAGTTTTCCTCCTCACAGTTTTTGGACAGTCCGGATGACGCTTGAGCTTTTTGCCTCATTAGAAGAGCAATTCTGAGAAGCACGTCTTCACCTTCAGGGGAGTTAAAATAAGATGCAAATGCAACGTGAGCAGCAGTGAACATCAGGAGGTGAACATTAAGTTGCTCTCCACAGAATTTAGTGGCATTTGATGCATTTAAAAAAAAAAAAAAAAAAGGAATGGGCTGCAATTACAATGGAACTTCTAACTTGGAGCACAAACCACCTATTTGATCGTGTTTGATAATTTGCTTTAAACTTCACAAAGTCCAAAGATATCGAATCAGTAACATTCGAGCCATATTTTCACCTAAAGTTTTGGTTGCCCACTGAAATGCACCAGGAGGTTTGTTCCACACGTAAGGCATATATTTTAGGAAAAGTTCAACTTGATTTATACAACGGTGTTTGGCATTTCCTGTTGATTCCCCCCCCCCCCCATATTTTGGTTGAATTCAGAAATGAGGCATATTTTTCACGTGTTGGTTGAATACCAAAATGTAGGACTTAAATAAATTTTGGTTTGGCTTCAAATTGTAAAACCTCAGTCAGGGTGTAATGTTTGTGAAAATGTTGGTTGCACACTGAAATGTTCCAATTTGAAAGAGTGTCTTTCACTGTGATTTTTTTTTTTTTTGGTAACTCCAGAGAGACACTCAATTGTAGAGGCTTATTCATCAAGAGACGAAGCTCATGAAAAAACTGTGGTTGTATACAATGTACGACTTGAGGGGTCTATTTTTGTCACATATTTGGATTGAACTCTGAAATGTCTCAAACAACTTTGAGGACGTAGGACTTTAAACGTTTCTCTGTTATTGATAACTGACATGATTTGGTATTAAATGGCTCTAAAGAAATCATTTTCGTGGAGATGAAAAGTGGCCAGCCCGGTGATACAGTGGCTAGCGCGTTGACCTCATAGTGCAGTGGTACCAGGTTCAATTCCAGCTCCGACCTCCCTGTGTGGAATTTGCATGTTCTCCCCGTGCCTGTGTGGGTTTTCTCCAGGTACTCCGTTTTCCTCCCACATTCCAAAAACATGCATGGCAGGCTGATTGAACAGTGTAAATTGTCCCGCGGTGTGAGTGTGAACGCGGATGGTTGTTCGTCTGTGTTGTGCCCTGCGATTGAGTGGCAACCGGTTCAGGGTGTCCCCCGGTTAATGCCCGAAGACGGCTAGGATAGGCTCCAGCACCCCCCCGCCATCCTTGTAAGGATAAGCGGATCGGAAAATGGATGGATGGAGATGAAAAGTAGTCCAAGTCAATGTTTTGAAGTGATTTTTTTAAATACAATTTCCGACTACAGTTTAATGAGAACGTCAGGTCGTTCCCTTTTTTTTTCTTCTTCTTCTTTAAGCTACAATGTCTTCCATTTTCCACACATTACAAAGCCATCTTAATCCTCTTCATATTCAGCATGAGCTACTGTTGTTGTTCAAACGCAATCTGCCTTTCACTTTGTCAGAGGTGAAATCAATTGAAATCTTTCTTTAAAATACCACAGCTATGGACTTTTGCTAATTAAAAAAAATAAAAATAGACTTCTAGAGAATAGGATGGTATTTGAGCACTTTATTGCTATCAATATTAATAGAATTAATATAATACAGTCCTCTGCTCTGATTGTATCATGTCAAATGATTGTGTTTGGCGGCCAACAAGTATATGGAGTCAAAAGTTTATGGAAGTGTAAAATATGTCTTCTTCTTGTCATTTTGGAGCCTGTTGCCATGGAGATGAGAGGCCCAGTGTATATACATGCGTGTCTTAAATGTGGCTTGTGATTAAGACAATAAAAAGTATTGGTTTACTGTTTCTTGAGACTCGATTTATTTGACAAACAAAAACAACAACAAAAAAAGCGCTACTAGACAGTGGCAGCAAACGTCCAGCCACCATCACACTCCATGAAAGGGACTCTGTTGGGTTTTTTGCCCTGACATTTGTTGTTTTTTTTTGGGGGGGGGGGAGACAGGTATTTTGCCAATTTTCTCTTTTTTTTTAATGGGGTGGGGGTAACTTTGGGTCCTAATAAAGTAAGTGAAGTGAAAAATTGTGAAGTTGAAATCAGAGAAAATGTCAGTTATACCTGGACGAGTGTCAACAAAAGAACTCGACTCAGGGAAGATTGTTGGTGCAGCCGACGGGAGCTGATTTCCCAGAGCGAACTACAGCAGTTGCTCCGCAGTCCCACTCAAAGTTCCTCGTGCTCCTCGTCTGACTTTTATTGTTTACATATGCAAAATACAAGAAAAACACTGCCCCCGATATTTGCATACCACGCCCCCAGTACGGCCCCTCGATCGGAGATGTGATTACAGTAACGTTTGTCAAGTTTTGAGCCACAGTCACTTCAACACCTTTATATCTGGTCTCCCAGGAATAACCAAGTCGCAGACTTCGTGGATGACAAATGTTCTCCTGGGCCGCGACCATTTCCCAGACTGTCTTTTGATGTTCTCAAACACTTCACACCTCACAAGCCGAGTCTAGCCTCCTTTTATGTGTTCACACTCTTGTTGTAAACCGATCAACTGTGGACTTCAAAAAGCCCTCCGCCCGACACCCTTGCGCAAAGACATTTGGGGGCGCTAAATAAACAACCCGTCGTGACAGACCCAAATTAAATGGAACTTTAAACATGATATAATTCTGTTCGTAGATTCCTCAAACAGAAAATCATCAGCAAGGTGGGTACAAAGACTTGGCACTGCAGTGCGAGCGTAATAGGCTACTACACTGTTCGAAAATAAAGGTCCTGTCGAGGTCGATTTTTTTTTCTCTGAGGTGCAACTTTTTGGTGATGTACCCCACAGCGTTCACAACTGAACCACCAGATAAGAGCTCTTCAAAGCGGGTCCTTGAGAGTCCCTATGAGGCCTGTTTTTCATCTCTCCCTTCTCGAACACGCCTGATTCAAATGATCAGCTCATCAGTTAGCTCTGCAGAAGCCTGATAACGATCCTGATCATCACCAACTGAGGAAGATGAAGGTGAGGAAGGCAGCAGGTCCAGACAACATCAGTTCCTGCCTCCTCAGGACCTTCTCCGACCAGCTGTGTGACATTGTCCAGCACATGTTCAACCTGAGCCTGAAGCTGGGCAGAGATCCACAGTTGTGGAAAACTCCGTGCCTGGTCCCAGTGCCCAAGACCCCCCACCCGAAGAAGCTCAATAGCTACAGGTGGCGCTGACATCTCACCTGATGAAGATGCTGGAGAGACTCGTCCTCGCCGACCTGCGACCGCTGGTGAGCTCGTCACTGTATCCGCTGCAGTTTGCCTCACAGCCCGTCATCGGCGTGCAGAACACCATCATCTACCTCCTCCACTCGGCGCTGTTACACCTGGAGAAGGCTGGGAGCACTGTGAGGATCATGTTCTTTGATTTCTCCAGTGCCTTCAACACCATCCAGCCCAACCTACTGAGGGACAAACAGCAGCACGTCGGAGTGGACCACCACCTCATATCACGGATTACAGATTACCTCACAAACCGGCCACAGTATGTGAGGGCACAGAGCTGTGAGTCGGACAGGCTTCTCTGCAGCACCGGGGCGCCGCAGGGGACTGTCCTGGCTCCATTCCTGTTCATCGTCTACATCTCGGCCTTCAGACACATCACTCCAACCTGCCACCAGAAGTTCTCCGATGACTCTGCAATTGTCGGCCTCATTACAGAGGGAGACGATCAGGAGTACAAGGGACTGACGAAGGACTTTGTGGACTGGTGCCAGCAGAATCACCTCCAGATCAACCCCGGGAAAACCAAGGAGTTGGTTGTGGATTTCCACAGGAAACAGTCCTCATCTGCACCGATGAACATCCAGGGTACGGACATAGAGTGGGTGACCGCCTACAAGTACCTGGGTGTTCTCAACAATAAACTAGACTGGTCTACTAACACGGACGCTCTGATCAGGAAGGGACAGAGCTCTTCCTACTCAGAAAAGTGAGGTATTTTGGGGTTCATGGGTCACTCCTTAAGACCTTCTATGACTCTGAAGTGGCTTCAGCCATTCATTAAGGCATAGTCTGCTGGTCAGGCAGCATCTCAGCACGGGACAGAGAGAGAGTGGACCGACTGGTCAGAAGGGCCAACTCTGTCCTGGGCCAATCCCTGGACACTTTGGAGGAGGTGGGCAACACGAGGATGCTAGCTAAGCTAACAGCGATGATGGACAGACCCTCCCACGCCCTCCAGGCTACCCTGACAGCACTGGGCAGCTCCTTCAGCCAGAGACTGATACACCTTCACTGCAAGAAGTAGAGGTACCGCCGCTTGTTCCTGCTGACTGCTGTCAGGCTATTGGATAGACAGACCTGAAAACCTGGACTCACTCCCACTCACCCATTTTAAATATCACAGCCACCTTATGCTGATATCTTATATATCTTATATTGTATATTATATTCTGTACTGTGTACAGTTCATTTTTTACATTTATTTTGTCCATGCAAATATTTCATGTTTTTCTCCTTTCTTCCCTCCAAATTTTGCTGCTCTAAATTGAGAACTTCTCCAATGTGAGACAAATAAAAGTTTTATTTTCTTATCTTAATTCGGTTGTGTTGGAAGAGGAAAACATCTAAAAACATGCTGGATAGTGTCTGCTTCAACATTCGTAGAATCCTGCGATCAAAATCCTGCGAGAAACGCAAGGCCAAATGTTTAGTTTCCTAGCATGACGCTAAGAACTGCATTGACGTGATACGATCATGTCGCGAGAAAAGTTCAACTCGCGTTTAGTTTGACCACTGTATTGTGCCCATAAAGTCACTTGTGAGCTTTCTTGACGCCTCCTTTAGCTCCTCTGTCTCCCTTCTCTGTCGTTTTCCTCCCTTTTCCTTCGCCGCCTCCTTCCTTGCCGGCCGCCGCCGCCTTCTTCTGCGTCTTCTCGTCGCCTTTGGCACCCTTGGATCCTTCCCTCCTCCCCTCCTTGCTCTTCCTTTCACCTCGATTGGCGTCCACTTTCCCCGAGACGGTGGCCACAGCCTCCGCATCTTCCTCCCGCTTTTCCTCTGCTTTGGCAGCTGTGTGGCGAGACAGGGACACAATAAAGATGCAGATACTTGTTTTGTGGGCTGAAATGAAGTCTGCTTAAGTAGGAAGCACATGATGAAGTCCCATCTGTATCCTGTTTGTTTTAATGAGCTCCCGTTTTTGTTTGGTTTTTTTTTGCGACCCGATGTGATCCTTTTTAAGTGGAGGACAAAATGTCATTATTATACAAGTAGCTATGTAACTAGGACAAGATCAGCCGAGTTAACGTTTTTGGTGTTGCAATTCGGATAAAATAGTAAAAGTGTACCAAAAAAACCCGTAAGGAACCGGTGATGAAACCGGTCATTTTATTTGAAATCTGAGATGGACAACTTTGACTGTTTGACATGAGAGGTGAATTTTTCTTGCAATCTTTCAGATGAAGTCTAAAATTGGCAGCTTTACGGGTGAGCTACCCACTTTCTGTCTATCTGTCTGCCTATATATCTGTCACAAAATTTTTCAAAAATATGGACATTTCCAAGCATATTCAACTAGATGTTTAAAAAAAAAAAGACAATCCTGCTTTTGGTACTGTGGTATTGCTCTAGTTTTTAAGTGGCGGAGCTGGTGGAGCTCCCAAGTATATGACAGTAACGAGGGTGCATCTTGTCCCTGCATGTTCTAATGAGCACACTCTTTTTACTCCTGTGATTGGATCCTTTGAAGTGGAACACAAAAGCTAACAGTCATTATTTTACAAGGTCACTTGAGACTGTGTCAATGTGGTACTCATACAGATACCTACCATGAGGTGGGGAGACAAATCTGTTCAAGCACAAAAAAATTCCAAAGTCCACAGAATCATTTTGTACATAATAATGATAATTTTTCATTTAATAGATTTCAGTGACAATGCAGAGAAAATATAAAGACAAACAGAGAGAGAGAGAGAGAGAGAGAGAGAGAGAGAGAGAGAGAGAGAGAGATAGTCCGCAGTGGTCTGTTTTGTTCAGGATAAAGTTGTAAATGTTTTGGAAGTAAACAGTTTTCTGCAAATATGTCAAAAAGTCCCATTGACCTTTTTAAATATTAAATAAGAGCTCACTGGCAGTGGGGATCTGAAAGGAAATTTCAAGATCTTCTTTTGAATAATTCATCAGTCGCTATTTCTGGTTTTGGACACATTTCCTCCAAGCGAAGACTCCTATGAAGGCCCAGTGGATCGTTTTTTTTTCTGTGGTCGCAATGTAAACATGACGGATGGAGCAGCTACACAAATAAACAAAAGGCTGACAAGCCCAAGGACAAATACAAAACAAATGTCAAAAGCTACCAGAAGGAATAAAAAGCTGACATCGGGGCCGGCATGGCTCAGTGGTAGAGTGTTTGTTTCTCAACCCCGAGGTTGGTGGCTTGATCCCCGGCCATTGCGGCCATGTCAAAGTGTCCTTGAGCAAAATACTGAACCCCCAGTTGCTCCTGATGCTGCATCATCAATAAGTGACTGAGGTAACAGTGTAAAGCGCTTTGAGTACCCGAGGTAGAAAAGCGCTAGATAAGTGACAACCCTTTTACTTTAATGCCGTTCCAAATCCGAGTGTCATGAATGGTGCTGATTTTCATTTTATTCTGTGTCCCACCCCCATCGGAAGAATATAATGTGAAAATGAAAGTGGTGAAGTACAAGTGGAGAAGACATGTCAGTCCTGATTTGTCATATTGTCATGCTCTGCTTTTAACCTTGCACTCAGCAGAGTCAAGAGACACCCATTGCTAAAAAACATTAGGAAAAGGGCAGTATTGATCATATTGAGCAGCCCAACAAGAGGAGAGTGTGAAGAACTGGTTTTATTTTTAAGTGCAACAACACGCAACAACTGCAGGCATCGCCAAGTTATCATGTTTCACTTTGCTCTCACATTCTCTTCGTGACGCTAATATTGGCTAAACGTGTGCATCTACTCACGGACAATTACAATAATTGCATCCCGCAAATGCGAAGAGTAAATAATACGTCAAACTAACCCTTGCTGCCCTCATGTTCATCATTTGGCAAGGACAGTGCTTTGACGTTGTCTACAGTGGACAATGATGACTGACACAAAGGCGGGCTCACTATTTGGCAAGCCTTCATGAATTACTGACGACAAGCAACTTGATTTGGTCACTTGAACTTGAACTACAACGAATGCCACCGTAGAGCAGTTAGAGCCACGTGGTTGCTTCCAATCAGTAACCGAAGCCATGAGTAGGATCATATTGAAAATATGTGTCGCTCTTTAAAATACTATGATGGCTAAAGTAGTATTATGAATGTAATACACAAAAAAAATCGTATTTATGTGTTTATTCAGTAATCAATAATTGAGCTTTTGTTCCCATGACGAGCAGGAGTGGACCGAAGGCGCTTGGTTTTCAAACAGCCCAGAAAGAGAAAAAGTGAGTTCCCTTAATGACAAGCATGAATTCTATTTTCTCTCATCGAGCCAGCACTCCACTAAGTTGTCGAATTGTTGCTGTCAATTGATGCAAATTTGGACGGGATGAGGTAAAATTCTGAGCGCCTCGCTCACAGATACATTTATGAAAACAGGCAGCCAACAAAAGACTTAGGTGGTGGTCGAACCATTTGTACGCAAACCATTACAATTTTCCATGATATGCCCCCTTAAGGTCTTTATAACCTATTTATCAACACTTCATTGGGTACACTTATTGTAATGTACTAGAATGAGTCAAATACAATACGCTAACTTACTGGCAAAAGTAGTACGTTTAAATGATGCAATTTAACACGGTTAATAACGTAGAATAAAAGCTAATTGCTTCGGATATCATTTTCCCACACACAGCAACAGAGGTGAGGACAAATTGAGATGGAAAAGAATTAAGAAGAAGAAGATGATGATCAAGCCGTCACTGGCAAAGAAAGCGAGGCAGGCTGCTCCTCAGAAAGGCCAACCAGGGAGCGGTGACTGTCAGTATGACTTTCGCTTTGGACTTGCTCAGAGAGTGTCTGGACGGTGGATGTCTCAGCAACCGCTGGAAACAACAGTCAACAGAATGGAGGGGGAAACCAGTAGAAGGATCAAAGGAAAGGAACGGGAGGGCGAAAGAAGTAAGAGAAGGGGGAAACTTACATCCTGGCACCTCTGTCAGCTCGTTAAGAGGTGGCACCGTCTCCAACGTGTTGGCATATTTCTTGGCGGCCTGTCGCTGGGCATGACGAGCTTCGATTTCCTTTTTGGTCCTTGGGATGCGACATTTAAAAATACAACACAGCGTGATCACTAGAGAGAGGAGGGGAATAAAAAAGATGAGTTTTGGGGTCAGTTGTCTGAGATTTGTTTCTTAATCGATTTTATGACCTTGAAAACAATTGCTGAAAATGTGAAGGGACTGGGAACTACACAGTGTTGAAATGTGAAGCTATAGCATTCAGCGTGCGGTAGGCTAACTAGCTCGTCCTCGTCCACGAAAACACACTCTCCTGGATGCCACAGTTTACATTAGAACTCTTGTGTCCTTATTTTAATTCCGAAGTCAGGACTTGACGCTGCAGACTAACCCACTGCCTCTCTGCCAGCAGGGATTTGCCCCATAAGCCTGTTAGCTTGCAAGCTAGCTACTGGCTAGCGTCTCTTGTCGAAGCCCCGCGGCGATTCGGTATTTTGTTTCCACTCACCAGAGGCGTTCAGCACTGTTTGGGACTCATTGCTTTAAAGTATATTTGAGGCCAACTTACAAAGATTACTGTTTAAGAATTTTAGTTTCACTATTTAATATGGTGAGCATAAAAAAAGATCAGTCAAACAATCACAACATATTATACATTAAATTTAAAAAAATAGCTGCTCGAAAAGGGCTTTGGCTAAAGCACCGCTTAACTTTGTCGTTCTACAAGCAGACCTGAGAGGATTGCAGATGTCAACGCATACTCACAACACACACAACAACAGGGTCGGAAAGACAAGGTGGTAATTGTTTCGTGAAAGAAGGCTAATGGCAGCAATAACGCAATCTTTCCTTGAGGTCGCTTTCTGGCTGCAAAAGGAATCAAGAGCAGAATATGAAACACAGCTACACAACAACTAAATCGTAAGTTTTCCTCTAAAAACAGGTTATGCTATTCTTAGAATTTGAGTGGTGAAAACGTGTCATTTTGTGTCCAATTAGAACATTTTGTGCAGCAGGAGAGTGGCAAAATCATTAACACCTACGTATGACTTGTTTTAATAAATAGTCGGCAGTGTTTGAGCTTGTGTTGGATCCAGGAGCGGCCTTGGAGCGTCACCACCTGGCTGGCACATGGTGTAAAAGAACCTCATGATGCCAATGCACTGCATAAGAATGTGTGAAAAACAACTTTCTGAAACATACACTAAAGACATCATGAAATTGCAGGTTAAACAATTAAATGGTTGTGCCACATTTTTCTGCTTTAGTTCCAGAGACGTTGTGCTGCTCCTTCTAGTGTGCCTGCCTTGGCCACCCGGGGCCAGCATATTAGTCATGTCGTTACACGGAGACATCTCAGCTCCTCAGTAAGCCAGCAGTGGCTGCAATGTTCTTTGCAGAAGATAAAGAATAGATGCCTGTCACTTAGTTATTTTAACATTTGTTGCTGCATTCACATCCAGACACATTCGTGGCCTCACGGACAAATCTTTGGAATTTGGAAAACTACCACAAATTAATAAAACTCAACTGCAGGCTCGCCACTTGTTACAATACAATAATAGAATACAGAATTGGATAAAATATATAAAAATACCCCGCAAGCCTCGTGAAGATTAGTGGATCAGAAAATGGAGGCATGTAAAATTACGAGAGAGGATTCTTTTCAACTGCAGTAAAATCTGCAGCTGTGTTACATGGATTGTTGCAAGAGTATTAAAAGATCCAAACTCTGAAGGTATTTGTGATTTCCAATTGGACAAGTGAGTCCAGAGGTGTGAGAGTGGAAAGCTGGAGAGGATTGCGAGCAAGTGTCTGGTGAAGGAAGAAAAACTGCGCAGGAGGTCGGCCATTTTGGTCTGAAGCTGAAGTTTTGGGCAAATTGCAGGAGTCCTTCTTTGACAAATTGAGCCCCAACCAGAAGCAAGTATGCCATAGTGGTGCAAGGGCCCATTCATCACTGCTTGCAGATTATCAATGTATGAGGGGCAGGGGACGTGCTACTTACCGATAGCTAAAACAAACACAGCGAAGATGCCGATGACTTGCCATAAGCGCAGCCCCCAAAACACGACAGTTTCTGATGTGACGGGGTCTGGCTTTTTGGGGGGCTCTGTGGGTAAAAGCTGAGGTGGTGGGGAAAAGAAAAAACAAAATCCAAACATTATAAATAACCCATTGAAGAAACTTGTTCGACACAAATATGAATTGGGCTTTCATTTGTGAGGTGGTGAATATGTACTTATATGAGAATTGGGATTTCATTTGTGAGGTGGTGCAGTGATCCAGTGGTAAGCGCGTCAACCTCACAGTGCAGAAGTGGTGGGTTTCGATTCCGGCTTCGGCCTCCCTGTGTGGAGTTTGCATGTTCTCCCTGTGCCTATGTGGGTTTTCTCCGGATGTCTCCAGTTTCCCCCCACATTCCAAAAACGTGCATGGCAGGTTAATGGAACACTCTTAATTGTCCCTATCGGTATGCGTGTGAGCGTGGATGGTTGTTCGTCTGTGTGTGCCCTGCAAATGATGGCAACCGATTCAGGGTGTCCCCTGCCTACTGCACGAAGATGGCTGGGACAGGCTCCAGCACCCCCCGCGACCCTTGTGAGGATAAAGCGGAGTGGGAAATGGATGGATAGATTTCATTTGTGTCACCCTTTTCTACCTTCGGAACTCCATCCACCCATCCATCCATTTTCTGAACCGCTTTATCCTCACAAGGGTTGTATGTATATCCAGTACCGATACCGTCCGTACTTTTGATATATAGAATTCTTATTCAACACAGTGCAGAAAGATTGTGAAGAAAGATGATTCCCGTACTGACACAAATGATGATTCCTCTTACTGATGCTCAGCAGTGGCACGGTGAGTGAGATCCAAGGCCACTGGCAACCGTAGCACCCGAATTATCTTCAGATGTCCTCTTTTTTTTCTTTCCAAACATATCAGTATGTAACAGTGGTGAATATAAAAAGCATCATTTGATGTTTTTGAATCAGTGGATGAAGTTTAGGTACAAATTGATGGATAGCGCAGCATAGCATCGATTGCCCAATTAGATGTCAGGAGGCTGCTGTGGAAACTCTATACTTTAGGTTGCCAATAGATCAGAAAAGGCTCACTTATTGCATTTGCTGCTGTCAATGATACATTTATGCTGTTAGGTGGTGCGCTAGAAAACAGTAAAAAAACAAATATTACAGAGAGCAACAATTATTACATTATGAGACCGCCAGATGTTGGAACTGCCATTGTAAAACAGACTCACCTAAATTTAGGTAATGTGACTCAGACATAATCCAAATCACAGTTCACGGACCTACATGTTAAAATATAGATTAAGATTATGACATCTGATTATTATACATGAAGGATTTTCTGTCTCCACCCATTTCTTACACTCACTAACAATCACATAGCATAAAACCACTTGTTTTTTCAATACAAAATCCACCAAAATATTGCAATAAATAAAGTTATATTATTTGTCTATAAATATATTTTTGTATTGTGTCATTCATTTTTTTACATGTTTAGTTTCATTATGTCTACCCTAATTGGATATATATATACATATATATATATATATATATATATA